AAAATTTACAGTATGAAACTTCCAACATGTTTACTCACCCAAAGCATCACTATTACACCAATATCTTAAAAAGCTCAATAATATTATTCGACAAGTCAAAGTATCACTCAAAAATGAACTACCTATACCTACTCAGCACAACTCTACTATTAACCAGATTAATAGCACCCATCAACTAAATATTCCATGCTTATCTAACAAATATACTCTTCTTGCAGACTAGCTTAACAACTGTAATGATGAATAGAAAGCACTATACTATGCTCGAAATATTGAAAATATTAAAGAAATCCGACAACAAATCAATGACAATATTTCTAAAAGATGCGACAAACTTCTATCTAATTCTAAGTCTATAATTAACAGCATATTAAACTATCACAAAGACCCTGTTAGATTTGATAACATCAAAACTGCAAACAACATCATTACAGATATACAAGAAATTAAATCACATATTCAACAACACTTTGACAAATGGACAAATTATCGAAATATCAACTATCAAATATTTAGCAAAATGAATACAGACCCAAAAACAATATTCAAACTAAATAGTATAATAGTGCTCTTAATGAATTTTCTTTAGAAGAAGTTTCTACTACTCTGTCACAACTTCCAAATAACAAAGTATACACCTCTCTAGAATTAGCTATGAAATGCTTAAACATGCTAGTCTTTCTTTTTTATAGGCAATTACTGCTTTATTTAACAGATGTATTATCTCTGACTCAATTCCTAAACAATAGAAAAAGGGAAGAATATTCCCAATCTCCAAAAAACCTATTTTTAATAGTAACCTATCTAATACCAGATCTATTAGCCTTTTGAAACATATCAAAAACTATATACCAAACTTCTAACTAATCATTTAAACTATATATTTACCAAGAACCCAATTTTTTCTTCTTATAACTATATTGCACTTCCAGGAAACTGCACTGCAATTCTTATTCATATACTCAACAATATAATCAAAGAAGCTTTCTGTAATTCAAAAGAGCTTTGGCTCCTATTCCAAGATATAAGCAAAGCTTATAACTTAGTTAATATTAACCTATTTAAGCTATCCCTCCAACGTATCAATATGCCATCTAAACTTATTACTATATTCATCAATCTTCTATTAAATCGCTACCAAAAATAGCATAGACCAAGGAGAAACCATTACTTCTCTCTTTTGGAGAATTTATTATGACCCTCTTATTTATAGAATTTCTTCTCACTAGATATACATTATCTACTTCATAGTTAACTAGCTTACAACCACAAACTAACCAACATCTCCAAACTTCTATCTCAGTCCTGGCATATATAGATTTTACATTATGGATAGCTCAGTCTAAAGAACAAATGACCTTATCTTTTTACCAAATGGCAGATATACAAATTAATCCAACAAAATCAGTATTAACTACCAACTCCAAATCTTCCTCTTCTATTTCTTTTATCAACTCTACAATTCAGCCTATCTTAGCTAGCCAACCTTTCAAATTTTTGGGATATTGGTTTACTCTTAACAACAAACAATCAGAACAAATTAGACTTATTCAAGATGAAACATTCCAACTAACCTTTATTGCTAGGACAAAAAGAATTACAGACAAACAAATTGCATATGTTATCAATACTGTTATTATTTCTACGTTAGAATACAGGATTCACAACATAGTTCTTTTACATACTATATGTAATAATATCTTATCTAAATATCTTACTATAGCCAAATATAAATCTTATCTTGCAAAATCAATTTCTAACAGTACTATGCTTAACCTATACTTATACAATATTTGAAATATTTGAGATATTCAATTACAGTACTATATAACTAATTTTTTTCAACGTATCAACAATCTTTATCTTTTAGAAACAACTACTCACATTAAACTACAACAACTACAGAACAACTTGTGGTCAACTATTAATATACTTCAACACCCTCAGCCTATAATAAATAGTCCAAACAGATTTATACTTAATTGTTTAAAGCGAAACGTAGGACTCACATTCTCATATTACTAGTACAAATTTGTCTGTTTGTCTACTCACATGCCAATAGTATATCAGTATTAGATAATATATACAATAGCACATTACATACTATATGTTTGTCATCTACACTATTATACTGCTATTACGTGATTATGCAATAGCATACTACGTGACCATCTGTACTAGAGACTAAACTAGAATTTTGTCTGTCTGTCCACCTATGTGATAAAATATTATATCGCTATCACGTGGTTTATTTACATCATAGTACACCATGTGACTATCCGTACTAGACAACAGACTACAATTTTGTCTGTCTGTCTACCCACGTAATAAAATATTATAACTATATCACATGTTTTATTTTTTTATATCATAGAATACCATGTGACTATCCATACTAGACAACAGACTACAATTTTGTTTGTCTGTCCACCCACGTAATAAAATACTACAATGATTAGTTGTAATACAAATCTTATACTTTTTGATACTTTTTTGATACACCTAAATATATGTATACGATTATAATAAAAGTTAATAAAAAATATAAAATTTTAGGGTATACTTATCAAAAAAGTAAGTGCAGGAGTATCAAAAATGTAAGTTTTACGGTTATAACTACATATTACAATGATTATCTCTTATTTTGCTATATTTTGTTATTGTAAGATTACAATGTGATTCAAGTTTTATGTATTTTTGAATTTCGCAATTTTGAAACTAAACTCTTTCTTTATATACATATATGTTGTACCCCAAATAATAATCCTGTTCTGATTGCCAATTGGAACAGCCCAAATTAAAATTGCCCAAATCTAACCTTAACGTCTGGGCTAATTAATTTATAATTTTGGCCAGATTGTCATCTGAGAAAATTGTTATTTGGGGCACGACATATATATACAAAGAAGTGAAGTTATTAATTTAAATTTTCGCAAGTAAACTCAACTTATTCTTATTTTATTAGAGAAAGTAGTTATTGCTCTTTAGCTTTTCTATCCTGCAGTCTTTTAGAACTTTTATTAGTTGAAGCCTTTCATAAAAAAATGGTCAAAAAAAAAGATCGTTGATGGCACGAACTCTTGATGTAGCCACAAATGAGAGTTCAGCAGCATACTTTCTTTCACCAAGATCTATTTTAGCTTTTGGAAGTGTTAACCCTTAGCTTTTATATATCATAACTGCCTATGCAAGACAAATAAAAAGTTGTAAACATAAGCAAATTATATTTTTTGATTCCCATGTTTGCTGAATTGGTATGATAGGAAGAAGTTTTTTTCCTTCTATAGTGATTATGATAGCTGGTCTACTATAATCATCAAATTCAATAAAGACCACTTTTGGAAGAGAAAGTGAGCACTTGTCTTCTTCGAACAAAATTTCGTAAACAATCCCTATTGAGCTATTAATTAACCTTGCTTCAGTCTATAGATTAGCCCTAAGCATAATACATGTATTTTGAGCTAATAGTAGATAAGGTTCAAGATCTTTTGATACATTAGAATCAGCTTTGGATACTTCATGACTACCTGCTATATGAATAGCGTTGATTCTGGTGATAGAGCAGTTTAACAATCATAGTTTATTAAAATTGACTTCATCAACATCAATCTTTCTAGGTAGAATATTTGTTGCATCTAAAAATTGATTATTATTCATATTAGGTGAATTTGCGAGCCAGGTCGTAAGTACTCTCCAGTCATCTATCATTGACTCTCCATCATATAAATGTAGCAAGATATCTCTAAAAAGACATTGCTCTTCTAAGTTTTCACATTGATGTTAAACAACGTCAAGCTTATAGACCTCCAAAAATTGGTTATATACAATAATACCATTATTTGAAAGCAAATCACATCGTAGGTAGATACATATATGAGATCATCAAGAACTGGTAGAAGTTGTCCAAAATCACCAATAAGGATGACAGAATGATCACCAAAAGGTTGATCTCATTGTTCTGGAAAGACTTGGTGTAAACACAGATCAATTAAGGCAAGCATTCATCATCCAACTATACTTTTTTCATCAATGATAAAATATTCTATATCTTGTAATTTGTTTTGTAAGTGCTTTAATTGTTCACCACTTATATCAAACTTTGTGTAATTTAGTAGAATAGAGAGTGCAATATGAATAGTGAATCCATGAATATTGTATACTGCAACTCCAGTTGGTGTGAGCATAAGGACAGATGATTTGTTATTAGCATTAGAATTCTTTGCTAATTCCTCAAGCTGAGCTACAATTGCTTTAATTAAATATGATTTACCCATTTCTGCAGTTCCTATAATGATTATTTTAAGAGGTTCAACACTTTTGCGATTCCCAATTGTAGCAATATAATATGTCTCGATTCTTTTAAATATTGTTATCTGCTTCTTATTTAGCGTTTAAAAATCCATTGTATTAGTAAATAGATTTTTGGAAGTTATACTTTCTTCATTTCGAACTTGCTGCAAAAAATCAATACATCTTTTAGGTCAAGATTGAGATAACGTTGTCTAGTGTCACTAACCCAATCATAGTTCTTATTCATTGCACATGACCTAAATCCAAATGTTTATCGATAACTAAATTTGGACCTATTTCTAATAATAGCATCTATTCTGATTATATTTCATTCTCATATTCCTCATCATCTAGCTGGTCATCATTCTTATTACTAAATTCAGCTTCTACATTATTCACAGAGGAATCTAATAAATCTGTGAGATCATTATCAATTTTCATAATGTGTTGCTCAAAAAAAACTGCCCAAGAGATTGTATTATTCATAGTAAGTTTCTCAAAGCTTCAGTAGCAAACGTGAAGAAGAACTTTTATATAGCAAAAATCTTCCCAGTAAGAACCATTACATTCGGGTGAAGGTTGTGGCCAAATGTGTATGATATTTTCATTTTTGTATATGCTCCAACCACTATTGTAAAACCTATATTTTAAGTAAAGCTGATGAAGCAAAATATTTTCAAGTTCATTAGGTCTCTCCCAATACTTTTGTAAGAGTGATTTCATTGTTTGTTCAACTTCATTATGTGAAAAATTGTCATCACTACCACTGCCACAAAGCAGTTGTGATGTATCTTTATTGAGATTCAAGGAAACAAACTATTGACTAGAATGGTATTATAGGATTCCTAGAAGAAGATAGCAAGTTTCTTGCGCAGAAATATCATACTCTGTGACTATATAGAGAAGTAACTTCTAAAATGAAGCAAGTAATGAATCATCAGGATTACTGTTGCAAAGGATACAGTTAAGAATATCTAAAAAAGCTTCAGATCAAGGTTCAGATTTACTGGCATATTTAGATATATATTAAAGAGCAGTATGCGTAGTAAGAACTGGTTTTAAATCTACATTTGCATGCTATTCTTGAAGCTGAAGTCAATCATATAGATTTATATAAGGGTTATTTCTTGCTATGACGAGTTCCAGATGACTATGATTGTCTTCGCGTATAAAAATATGCTCTACAATTTCCTTTGGATAACCAAATCTACAAGTCTGTTCACCTGCACAATTTGTATGAATGCAGTATGAAGTGCTATATTTTGTATGATGCTGCAGCTTATTGACTAGCTCAATATAATCTTGTAGATCATCACATAGCTTGTCATTACACTTCTGGCACAGGTGGCGATCAGGTATGGGCATGTCAATTTCTGAATTAATTGTAGTGACTAGGGAATCTAAGTATTGAACCACTCTAACCATTGTATCATTGTCTTCTTTCATTTTCTCTCACTCAATTAGTGATGCATTTTTTCACTTTCCAATCTCATATATATGAGCACTGTCATGATATTGCCACTCGAACCTATATCACCAATCTTCTAAATTCTACTTAGGAATTAATACATTTTCTAAAAAAGATTTGAACTGATTTTCAAAGAATCACGCAGCTATATGCAGATTATTGATAAGGTCTTAACGTCGATGCTTAGCCACTTCTTGTTCTGATTCTTCTATTAGATTATTACTATGTAGCATAAGGTTATAGAGCTCTGACCAATGTAGGTCTACTGTGCTGAATGTGAAAAATATTAGTTTTTGAGTTCCCAACAATTTGATCATATCTGATAGTTCAAGTTATCATTTAATCCAAAATTGTCAAGTTTCACATAAACTTTTTTCAAATCTTATGACTTGATTGGCCAAATGCATATTTTCTTCAACTATTTCTTGGACTTCTTCGACAGTAAGTTGCTTTCTATTTAGACTTTGCTTAACATAAACCTACCTTCTTGTAATGCTCTCTATCACATCTGCAAATTTAGTACAAAATATCTCCAATGAGGATGATATGCAAATCTGCCATCTTTGTATTTTAATATATGTTGAAAATATTCTGCAGGTTTTATGTCTCTTAAACGTTCTGAACGAAGATCAGCTTTTTTATATGGGTACAAAGTTGGAAAACTACATACAATGTATCCAGAAATATGAAATTTATTAATTGGATTGCTATCAATACTTGGCCATGCAGTTGTTGTAGTTCTAGCTTACATTCTAGAAAGAGCGTTATTAATAGCATCCTTTTCATGATGTGATGGGGGCAAAACTGGAACAAAGCTACATGTAATTATATTTTTAGCATCATTTTCATCTTTATTTAAATGTTCATTTTCTGTAGTTTGGAGCTGTGCAAAGTAATTGTCAATAGGGCCATTATCAGGTAATAATTGAAGCACTTCATTGTCAATATCAATATTAGAGTAATAATGATTATTTGCTTTTAACCATAAAAGTATCTCTGTTACTTTACTACGACAGACAATAAAATCTCTGAATTCTGGCCCATTTGCAGACTGCCAATGCATAACAAGAACATTCAATGATGATGGATAACGAGGAAGACGTATTGCAAACTCATGTATATCTTGAGGAAAGTTAATAACATTTCCTCTATACGAATACTGCCCTCCGCGAAGACAGTATACTGATATAACATGAAATATTTAAGCAATTAACATTTCCTCCATCTCGGTGAGACCCTGAAGTTCTTCAGGTACATCACCTGGGTTTATATTATTTTCTGCTAAAACTTTTTTGAAACCTTTTTATCATTATAACAGCGACAACATTTGCCACTAGCTAATGTAATTGACAGAAAGCGCTCATTGCATGTGGGCAAAGTTTGTGTTCAAATTTACTTATCTTATTTTGAAACTTTTGTAGAAGTTTATGATCAGATTACGTTAATGATTCGATTTCAATTATGCCTGAATATGTTCTGAATTTCATTATTTATTTGTAGTTACTTTTCTTTTTAACAAATTAATTTGTTACTAAGAATAGAAGTACTACATATACTAATGATAACTCATTCTTTTGAATATTTAGGAGCTCATAGTCAACTTCTAGATTATATGTATTGTTCAGCGCTTTTTTTTTTTTCTTTTGCTCCTTATCTTTGTCTGAGCGTTTTCTATGTTCTTCTGCAGTTTCTGCCTTTCTTTTTTTAGCTTTATTTTCATGATCACGGGTAAGATGTTTTTGACATTGATCAGGGTTTCATTCTCTTTGCTTTTACGTTTTTTAAGCGCTTTACGGTTTAGGTGTTCAGACATTGTTATTTATTAAAAGTGTATTTACTAATAATTATTACAATTAATGGTTTTTTTTTGATTAATGTATAGTGTAATCAACATGACACCAGTTCCTTGTAGATTCTATATATTTGCTAGAACACGTGATCATTTAACATGTCGCTATCTATATTCTATTCTATTTCTATCTTAAAAAAAATTAGATTGTTATACAGGAATCAGACTTTGCATATTTGTGTAACTGTTATGTATATAACAAGTAAATTCTTTGCAAAGAATATATCCTGTGCAAAATGTATCGAACCTTTCAAAAACAATTTTTGAATTCTGTTAGCAAAGACATATAGACAGCTTTTTATCTGCTTTTGTGAATTCTGAAATAACTGAAAATATGTTACTCACGTTAGCTAATGTCAATAACTTATCAATTCAGTCCTTTTTCAGTATTTTGAATTTATAGAAATAGCTGTAATTCCAATCTAACAATTTTATATAGCTTCGATGGTCTGTTTATATATAGGCAACATTCACATAACATATTTGTAGCATTTATTCTATACCATATAGCGAGTCATATAATAATAGGCTCTGATACTGATGTTTTAAAACTTTCCAGTCTATTAAGTTAATAAACAATGCAAATATTTATTTCATAATTAAACTATTTATCTCTAACTGCCGCACCAATTTTGTCACGATATCAGCTATAATTTACAAAATTTTGGCATGCATCACATAATTGTTTACATAATTTTTGGTTGGAATTAACTTTTTTAACTTCATTCCAAAAACCAAAAACTTTTAGAGAAATAGGCTTGCATGATAGTAAATTAACTCAAGAACGATTTTTATTTAATGGGTGCTGTAAATTCATTAATAAAATTTTGAATAATTTTAGTCTAAATTTTTGAATACTTTTTTACTAATCCAAATCAGAATTTATTATAACAATTTGGTGCAGCAGTTAGAGTCAATTAATAAAACCAGAGTTAGTTGTAAATACTATTAAATTAATTTTGTATAATATTCTGTAGTGGTTTATTATACTTATGTTTGAATTTTTTATAATTTATTGTATTTTAAGCTACTTATTTATTTAACTGTATTAATAATTTAATTTAGATAGGTTTGTCTATAATATAAGTGTTTACTAATAGAAAACCCTACAATTTAAATATGATTTATATATAAATTGTCGGGTTTTCTTTTAGCCACACTCATATATAATTTAACCAGAAACTATAAAACAATTTTTTTATGTTTATAATTAACTTAATAAATTGTATAGTTTTTTAATAGTATAATTTGTAAAATAGATTTTTTAAAAATAAATATACAGTATATAGTTTAAATAATAATACTTTATAAGTGCTGTTAAAAGAAAACCCGAACATTTAAATATAAGTAATATTTAAATTTCCAGGTTTTCTTTCAGTGACACTTATATTATAATTTTTCATATATATGGGGTTGAGTCAATAGAAATCAAGCAAATTTTTTATAATAAAGATTTTTTATAACTTTGAACAAGAATAAC